CTGGAAACGAACGACGCCGGAAGTCTCGCACATTCAAATTAAAAATGGCGCGTTCAGTGATTAATCAACGAAGAACGTAACCTGTGCAATCACCAGAAGAGCGCTATTATTATCAATTATCAAAGAGACATCGTTTCAGTTAAGGTATTGACATCATAGCTATTCAATTTGAAACGTTCGCGAAAGTTCCATCTTTCTATACCACGTGGTTATAAATAAATAATGATCTAAACAGTTACATTTGGTTCTAAATGAGCCTGCAATCCAAAATAAGTGAATTAAAGACAGTAATAATTCATTTCCAAAAGCACAGACATAAATAACATTTAAAAGTTGTGATTACTTTATACAGTATTCACAGTTTGTTACAAAAATAGCTTTGTTCTCATAATTATTCAATTTTATTTTTTTGCAATATGATAATTTTGTTGTAGTTATGGTTTTGATCTGTTTGCTATTACTGTTTTTCATAGTGTAAATTGTTTGGAAACTAGTTAGGGTCAATGTGACATGCAGACATTATTATAATGGAATATGAAGCCCACAATTAAAAAACAATAGCATACAGATATGTACTGTCCCATAGACATAAGAAATTGAGGTATGGATAATATTTTGAGCACTGAACTATGAAATATGTCTTGTTTCATAAATCATTCAGTGCTTCACATGTTAACAGCTGGGACCAAAACAAACACTCGTTTTGCAAAAAAATCATTTTGCTTTTAAATTTGAGTTTAGACATTAACAATACATTTTACATTTAAAAACAGCTGCTATTGTGGTTGTCATATAATTAGGAGAAATTACAAAGTTGATGTGTTTTGTATCCGTTGATTTCTTGACGAATTTTACTTGCAACAAATGCAAAGGGATGAAGATTACTAAATAATAAGTACAAAACAAAGCCATCCTTCACATGCCTCCAAATCCTCCTGGACTTAAGAAAAGATGTCTATAAAAGATCAAAAAGAGTGTTTGACATTAAAAATCTATCTATAATTTACACATGCTGTTGTATGAGAATTGATATTCATTTGGATATTTTTGTTCATTTGCTTAATCCTCTGATCGAATGCATTTGAATTCAAAACGGAAATATAACATTAATCAATATAAGATGATTGGTTATTTTTGAATTGATTATTGCATATTGTTTGTTACATACCTGTATTATTATGCATATGAACGGCCATTAAAAAGTTTGGGGACAGTAATATTTGTTTAAAGAATTTAATACTTTCTTCATCAGGGATGCATTAAATTGATCAAAAGTGAAATGTTACAAAAAAATGTATATTTTAAGTAAATGCTGTTCTTTTGAACTTTCTATTCATCTGTGAATCCTGCAAAATATAATGTCTGACAGTTTCCTCAAAAATATTCTGTTTTCAACGTTGATAATAATCAGAAATGTTTCTAATAATCAGCATATTATACTGATTTCTGAAGATCATGTGACACTGAAGACTGGAGTAATGATGCTGAAAATACAGCTGCGCATCACAGAAATACATTACAGTTTAACAGATATTCACATAGAAAACAGCTGTTTTACATTAGAATAATATTTCACTGTTTTTACTGTATTTTAAATCAAATAAATGCCTTGATCAAAGATCAAGCCAGCGGATCCAGTTAGAAGAAGTGCACAAGATTATTCACGAACCAGAAATATCACGTTAATATTCAAGAAATATTACACTAAAAACTCATGTTGTGCCAAACCTGTAATGTATGCATGTTTTATTATGGTGTGATTTTATATAATGCATAAAAATTAAAATTATTGTTATTATTATTATTTTTATTTATTTTTTATTTTTTATCTACTTATCAACAATCAGATGTTGGTTATGATGTTGGAGGGATCACAAGCCATTGCAGACCAATACAAAAAATACATTTTTATTAATTGATTACTGTCTCAGCAGGTTCATTTTATTTTTTTCAATAATAAATATTATTTCATATAATGAAAATGGTTTTAGTTTTAGTTAACACAAATAAATAAATCCGTTAGAGATGAAGGGTGCACATGCATTACCATTCTTTATACTTTGAGTTTGATCATATAATAATGTCAGGATTTATTCATGCAACTCATTTTACACGGTGAGGACTAAATGCAAGGCTTGTTTGGCTCTGTTCCTGTGTGTTTGTTATGTAACCTGATGCTGTTTTGGCTCACTTCAGCCCCAACAACTGATTTCCATCAGGGTGCTTTGCAACTATGCATAATACATCTACTGCATATTGCACGTTTTTACAATGCTTTTACATATTTGAGTGGCATTTTTTAATGAAAATGGATGAATTGGAAAAATAAAAATATTAGATGAAGTGTATATATTTGGTTTGGAAAAGGAGATTGCCTTGGTGAATAATCAGGAAACTGTGGAAGCCTGTTTCTGCCACTGAGTAAAAAATAAAAAAGGTAATTGCAACTTTTTATCTCACAATTCTGACTTTTTTCTCACAATTGCAAGTTTATATCTCACAATTCTGAGAAAACTGTGAGATAAAAAGTCGCATTTACCATTTTTTTATTTTTTTATTCAGTGGCGGAAATGGGCTTCCATAGGAAACTTGTTCTCAAAACTTCTTAATTTGAAAATTTCACTTTTTTTGGAGTTTGAAAAGTCACATGTAAAACATACTATACTATAAATAACTATTTCTGTTTCAACATGTTAAACAATTACATTTGTCACGTGACCTTACCTCACATTAGCGAGGTAAGTCACGTGCCAAACATCTACCCTGCACCTAATTAAAATATTTAGTGTTGTATAACACCAACTGTTACAATTACTATGAAAAAAATGGAGTAATGAGTAAATAGTACAGATTCCGCCGTGTTTAGTAGCTAGTATTCAATCCTGTGCGTGTGCAGCGACTCCTGTCCCTTTAAATGTCTTCGTCTTTTTCCGGAGAGTCTCGGTGAGGTTCGCTGTCAAACCCGCTGCTGCAAGGAGGGCAGTGGCCGTATTTTTGCAGATATCTATCAATTCTCGGGTTAAGCGGGAGCCGTGGCATAATAAAACACATTTACGGCCGTGAAGCGAAGTAACCTGCCTCTCCACAAATGCAAGCTATTAAATGCGTGGTGGTCGGCGACGGGTAAGTAGTGTTTTGGGAGCTGATGGAGAGTAGCATCCTTGGAAAAGCCGTGTGGGGTATTGCAATGCATCCATGAGCTCTGGCCTTTGCATTTTATTATTTGCTCAACGTTATATCCTCTATTTGATCCTAAGCGTGTGCATGCGTGTAGAATGCATGCAAAACTGTAATATTATCGGAATCTGTATAGCTATTGTAATGAGCGCATCACAGCGTGATGCATTAATAATCGTTTCATGTATTATTTTAATCGCTAATGCATGTGCGGCTTGGCAGCATGCATCGGTCATTAGACGTTAAATGAACGGGCTTTGAACAGAAATGCATTGGGTGTTGATTGAATGGCAAAAGCCCGAAGCAGACGCTATGGTTACCACGCCCTCCTTTAGCGTGCACGAGAAGTGTGTGGAGCGCGTGCATGCGAGCTGAGTCCGAGTCATTCCGCGAGTCGGTTCTTTTGAAGAACCGATTCAGAAACACGATTCGCAATTATTTGACGCCATGGCGTAATTGCGTGCAATTAAAGGCAGGTGTAAATTCAATGCTCACTCGAATTGTAATTTCTGTCAATTGATCATCTTTTTTTCAAATGCCCCCTTGTTAAAGAATTTTGGTCTGCTTTTTACAGCGATTTGCAGTGGTGTGACTATCGTGTGAACAGAGCTGGGCAGATTACTTACCGACTGTAATCCGTTACTGATTCCAGATTACATGACAAACATTGTAGTTAGTAACGTAATCCATTACATTACACATTTTGGGTAATATAATCAGACTACTTTTAGATTACTTTTGACCTCTCGTTTTTCACATTGATTTAAATAGGATAATCTGTACTGTATATTATATTACGTCAAGATTTCCCAAACTGTTCAACAAGTCAGTCAGGTGGTGATTCGAGAACCGCTCGTGTGTGAGTCATTCATTCGACTCAAACGAACGAATCTTTTTTCAGTGCACATTTCATTGGTGATGGTGTGTGTGTGTGTGTGTGTGTGTGTGTGGCCTCGGGCGAGTGTGAATCTGGGACAGGGTCTGTCACTATCTGACATACTGACACCATACTAACACAGAAAGAGCACACTAGCAGCACTAACTACTTTTACTTGATGCAACTTATTCATCATATAACGTTATGACCTAGTGTTCTTTCACCGTCATTTCCTCTGCATCTATGGGTTTTATATAAATGCACAGTAATGCATCTCAGAGCTGAGCTGAGTGGTGTGTGTTTCCTCAGGGCGGTGGGTAAAACCTGTCTGCTGATCAGCTACACCACAAATGCCTTCCCCGGCGAGTACATCCCTACAGTGTGAGTATATAGTGTGTGCATCTGATTAAAAACAATGGAGCATTTTATTGAACCTTTAGACAAATATAAAAGCAATAAAAAAAAAATTGCATGCATATGTGGTTTATGTTTGTGTTATATTTGATGCATCAGGTTTTAATGGCTCATATAGTCTGATATAGTGAGAATGATGCTTGTGATGTAAATCAATGAGATCTTTATAACAGTGCAGCAGATACTGACATAGAATGATATAAATATCAGTGGTCGCTCTATATCTCCAGTAATCTGTCTCAGTAAGATGAGATTGAAATGCTCCAAACATATAATGCAGTGATTGATGTGTGTGTGTGTGTGTGTGTGTGTCATAAATAAAAGAAGCAGTTAAAAAGATCACTTTTTTCACAAAATAAGAGTGAAGATTTTTCAGGAATCAGGAATCATGTCTTTGTGGCAGTTTTCCCACTGATTAAAGAATAATACAACACTTCTTCCTCTTACAAATGGTTATTGAAAGCAAAAACACTATGAAAATGCATGTTTTGTGAAAAAGTGTGACGTGCTCGAGTGAAATCAGCTCATCAAAATGAGTAGGAAACAAGTATTGGATTTCATTCAGCACATATGATTTAGTGTGGTGTAACTGAACTGGGCTTGCAAATATAAAAACAGCATTTTCCCTCTGTTTTCTCCATAGGATGTGTTTTTAATATGCTTTTCATTGGTGAGCCCAGCGTCCTTTGAGAACGTCCGTGCAAAGGTTGGTGCAACTCATTTTTCAGTTGTTTTTGAACGCACAGCATGCAGAGCAGACAAAAGCACAGCACTGATAGCAGAGCGTAACATAAGACTGAGTGTTTCTGTGCTCCAGTGGTACCCCGAGGTGCGACACCACTGCCCCAACACACCCATCATCCTGGTGGGCACCAAACTGGACCTGCGGGATGATAAGGACACCATAGAGCGGCTGCGGGACAAGAAGCTGTCTCCCATCACATACCCGCAGGGTCTGGCCATGGCCCGAGAGATCGGTGCGTACTGACAAACTCATGACGGCAGGAAATCTGTGCATGCATTCATGCAGTTATTGAGCGAGTGGGACGCTGGTTATGTTGTGGGATGCACAGAGATGCACATTGTCTTAGAAACACAATGACCGTTCCCCATCAGCTCTTTGTGCTGCCAGAAGCCTGAGGGTCAGTGTTTCTCAAAGCCTGCAGAAACAGTACAAAGCTGACTTCTGCAGGACCAACACCTCTTAGAAACATCGGGGGTCCGTAAGATTCGAAATGAATGCTTTTATTCATCAAGGATGCATTAAATGGATCCAAAGTGACAGTGAAACGCATTTATAATGTTGCAAAATAAATGCTGTTCTTTTGAACGTTCTATTCATCTGTGAATCCTGAAAAATAAAATCTATCACGGTTTCCACAAAAATATTAATGTTCTCAACATTGATAATAATCAGAAATGTTTCTAATAATCAGCATGTTAGAATGATTTCTGAAGATCATGTGACACTGAAGACTGGAGTAATGATGCTGAAAATACAGCTGCGCATCACAGAAATAAATTACAGTTTAACACATATTCACATAGAAAACAGCTGTTTTAAACAGTAATAATATTTAGCCATTTTTACTGTATTTGGTTACACTTTATTTTAAGGTGTTCTTGTTACAGTGTAATTATACATTTAAATAGTGAGTAATATTAATTAACTACATGTACTTACTATATGGTTAGGATTAGGGTTACTTGCATGTAATTATGCATAATTTATTGTTATTATAAAAGTAATTACATGTAACATGTGTAACAAGGACACCTTAAAATAACATAAAAACATAAATAAATAAATACATAGAGAGTAAAAGATAAAAAAAGAGTAGGGCTGCACGATTTGTGGAAAAATCCATTTATTTTATTTTTTTCTAAAAATATTAAAAATGATTATTTATCAGTATGTCAATAAATAAATACCTACCTAGTATGTTTTGTGTTTGGTTTTATTTATATTAAATAATAATAATAACTATTATTATTAAAAATATAACTAAAAACAAAACAAGAAATATTACTATTGTAACATTTCACTGTTAAATACAAAATCCACTACTTAAGATAAATTTGAATAAAAAATAATTAATTAAAAACAAATAATGAAATAAAAATAAAACAATTTTATTTCACATTACATGTAAAATGACAACACTAATATTTATGGCTGTGTTAATCTCTCATTTTTCAAACGATCCATCACCCTTTTATTCTGACAGAATACTATAGGGTACCCTTTAAGCTTCTCATTAGTTTATTAGTGCTTCTCGTTACAAGTATTATTTATTTCATCATTATAAGTATTTATTTTGGTTAATCACGCATAGCCTGTGGAGTATATTTTTACTAAAACACTTCGACTCAAGTAAAATAATGTAGAACAAATGTTTAAAGGAAATGCATTTCTGAATGAAACCTAAAGCAGATGTGTTGTGTTTGTGCCGCAGGGTCTGTGAAGTATCTGGAGTGCTCTGCTCTGACGCAGCGCGGGCTAAAGACTGTGTTTGACGAAGCCATCCGCGCCGTCCTCTGCCCTCCACCTGTCAAAAAACGCGGCAAACGCTGCACTCTCTTCTGAGCGCACACAGATTTTTAATCAGCCTCTTGGAAAATATACTGTACTACTCTCGCAGGTTCAGTGACAGCCGTCCATGAAGCTCTAATGCACATCACATATATATGAACCATCGGTAGAGGGAAAGCTCGTGCCCCGAGACGTAATATTCCATTTCATATCGTTTATATGAGAAGTTTTAGTGGTACAGTGTAATTGTTGACATACTGTAAGTGTTGTAAAGGAAGCGTGTCAAAGACATGGGAACGTTCTGTTGGTTTAGACGCTCTTGTACAAAGCTAACCGTTCGCAGTATTAGTTCACGACCCATGAGCGAGTCAAACAGGAGATTCAACGAGAAAGAAACGTAGCAAATGTTTGGATCGTGAAAAGCGAAGCTGGTCATGGAAGGGTTAAAAATCAAGTTCAGTTTTGTGCCCAGCTAACAAAAAAAAAGAGTTCTAAGAACGTTTTGCTACACAAGTTCTGAAAACATTATTTCTGAACATTTTTAAAAAATGCAAACATCAAAGGAACGTTCCATTTTATTATCTGGCAAACATGAGAATGTTACTTTTGAATGTTCTCTGAAGTGCCCCGTTTTTAAAATGTTTTCAAAACTTTTTTTCTTGGTTAAAATGTATCGTTTTGCAAACATTATGAAAATGTTACTTTTGAATGTTCTCTGAACGTAACATTTAAAAAAAAAAAATCAAACATTCCTTGAATGATGTATAATAACATTTGTTGTGTTTGAACATTGCAACAATGTTACAGGAAGAACGTTTGCTCACAAACACATAACAATCTTCTCAGAACTTTTAACACTAATATTCTGGCTACGTTGTTATTACATTTGTTTTTTTTAATGTTAAAGGAACACTCCATTTTATGATTTTCCAAACATTGTGGGAATGTTTTTTCGAATGCTCTTTGCAAACCTTGTTTGATTTGGTGCTCCAGCACTTCCTTTCTTTGTAAATAACTCAAAACAAACAAAAAGATGATCTTCACAGCTGCCAAAAGACATTTCCATGATGTAAGATAGTATATTTACACAAAAATGTTTTAGATGAGGAATGCATTAATTAATAAATCTATTCATGTTTTACCCTTACTCTGACTCTCAGCTTTCATTCATTGGAATAAATGACAATAAAATGTAATGCATGAGTCTTCTGAAGCCAAACAACAGCTTTGTGTGAGGAACAGACTGAAATGAGTGTTGTTTGTGAACTATTTCGTTAATATGCCCATTTGCAATGCTTTTAAAATCAAGTTTTTCCAAGTTCAGTCGCAGTAAATACATTTCTGCTTGTTTTTTAATCATTAAAATAAATTGCAATTTAGCAAATCTCAGCTCTGTGACTGTTTGTATTGTTGCAAAATGTAAATGATGTTGATATTCAACTCTAATCTGCTAAATGTGACTTTAAGGCATGAAGATATGATGCTATGAACATCAACATAATCTATTATAAACATCACGATTTTCTGTAGAGCTGCTTTAAAATCATGTAAATTGTAAAAAGTGCAAAATAAATAAATTTGGCTCGACTTAGAAATTGAAAGTTCAATTTTGATCAGGAAAATCTGGATTTAATCACGTGTATCAGGGTTATGATCATTTAAAAAAAAAAAATACTTGAAATGAAATGCATGTTAACTGAAATAAAAGAAAATATAAAAAATTAAAGATTTTATAATAATAATAATCATAAGAATATTAACAATAATAATAATCATAATGAATGTAAATAATATTTAAAAATATATTTATATAAAAACAGAAAATACACCAAAATGGGTAGCTAAATCTGCAATCCTGTTACCCATCTTAGTGTATTTGCTGTTTTTATATTTTAGATATTATTAATGAATTATTATTATCATAACCATAATACATTTAAATAATATTTAAAAATATAAAAAATAAAATACAACAAAATGGGTAACAGGGTTGAGGATCTAATCTAAATGTGGCTGTCACTCGTCAGGGCTGCTAATAATCACAACAACATTATAACTGTTCACCACAACGCACAATTAATTTTCTCAAAGCTGTAAACCGCGTACAATGAGCTCAATGTTTGACGAATCTCATAAACGTGATCTGCCAAAGCTCTGGACTTGCAATCATGATTTCATAAGCACCTGATACGACACACTAATCATCACTCAGAAGTGTGCTTCAACACAACACATATAAACTGGATTCAAAATTTGGATTTGGTTTATCAATTTAAGATCTTTCTGCAGTAATGCAAGGAAAACAGCGTCTGCAACACGTGATTCTGATTGCTCTGTCACTCAATTCTGTGGTCAAATATTTTTGACCCTTAACTGTACTGTAAGAAAACTCAGATCAGTTTTTCACATCCATGTATTTAGCATAATTGTCTCGGGGGACTTTTCTCTGTATTAACTGCCATTATTATTAATGTACATTATCCTGACCCTTGCATAAAAAGCTCCCATACTTTACGCATAAATGCAGCCTCATTAAAAGCAATGTTTACATGCACCAAAATAATCTGTTAATAATCAGAAAGCCTTCATGTAAACATGAAAGGAGATCTGAAATAATCTGATCAACAGGAAGAAGTGAAGCATGTAAGTTTGCGTAAATGTTATGTCTTATGAACTGGTCAGTGGAAGACGCTGAACATTTACTTAATATTTTTAAATGTCTCAAATAATTCTCTTCTGCTCACCGAGGCTGCATTTATCATCAAATGTACAGTAAAAACAGTGGAATATTATTCTAATGTAAAACAGCTGTTTTCTATGTGAATATCTGTTAAACTGTAATGTATTTCTGTGATGCGCAGCTGTATTTTCAGCATCATTACTCCAGTCTTCAGTGTCACATGATCTTCAGAAATCAGTATAATATGCTGATTTGCTGCTCGAGAAACATTTATTATTATTATTATTATCATATTATGTTGTAAACAGCTGAGTAGAATTTTTTCAGGTTTCTTTAATGAATATATAACTCAGACGAACAGCATTTATCACAAATATAAATCTTTTGTAACATCATAAATGTCTTTATCATCACTTTTGATCAATTTAATGCATCCTTGCTAAATAAAAGTATTAATTTTTATAATAAAAAAAAAAATTATAATGACTCCAAGTTTTTGAATGGTATACGTGAGTGTACATTTATTCATTTTTTAAATAAAACTTTTAAAATCATAAGCAAATTGTTGAATGGACCTCTAAATGTATACGTATAGGGGTTGAGAATCACAATTACAGTGTTGTGTTTGCTGACTTTTGTGAAGCCCAGTTATGATGCATCTGGTTTTTACCGAATTTTGGTTTGAGTATAGGACCATTTTTTTCTTGCTAGACTGTAATGCATAATAATAGTGGAAAGATGTTTGTTCGTGAAGTATTAAAATTTACACCGAAGATCTGCTGTAGGTCTACTTTTGTTTAAAAATGCGTATACGAATAAATTTGCTAATGATTATAATCATTACTTTTATGTTGAAAAAGAAACATTTTCAGATATACGACCCCACATGCATCCCAAGCACAACCCCCTGGAAATAAAGCAGAAATTAAGGTAGTTGAGTGAAAGCATCGTGGTTTGTTTAATTCATGCTTAGAGAAAGGCATCGAGGCCACGGCAAGAAGATAACATATCCAGCATCCAGTTGACCACATAAACATGCTTTATTTCAACATCCAAAATAATTAAAAACATCTCGAAATACTGTACATGTACAAAATAAGTACAGATCCTTTGCTGGAACCATCGGAGGGTCTGTTTCGCTTCTGTGGGTGTTCTTTTTCGCCGCCTTGAGAAACCTTTCACTGAAAACAAGTCAAACAAACGAAAACAAAAAGAGAAAAGAGATGTGCATTGCATTTTGAAAGTAGGCATGTACAGACAAAAATAAGACTTCTCGGGAAGGTGAAACGGAGACGAGACGAACTGGCAATCAGTCCATCCGCTTAAGCCATATCAGATTAAGTGCAAATCTACAGTAACCAGCCGTTTTATTCTCCTCGTCTGCTGACTCTGATAAATGCATCACATTGACATTCTGTTGACAGCTAGCACCAAAACAGCCCTGCGAGTGACAGCACCAAAACAAACGCGTAGCACCTTTTCATACCTGTTACTAATCGCTAACGCCCTCGTTTTCCCCCCCAACACCTGTTTTTGTCCTGAGGTAGCCTTTACTGTATATCAAGATGACGTTGCACCATTCAGCTAACTGTGATGTTTGGTGAGTTTTTCTCACTTGGAAGGAACAAGACACTCGGCTGTCGTTTCTCATATTTATTCAACACCAGAGAATGGTACATTAGCATTTGCTTGCTTCTCATTGTCCTTTTGCAGTGGTCAAAAAACGGCACAAAAAGTCACCAGGTGGTCATTTTTGTTTGGACTCCAAGGGGGCGTGGCGTTTTACAAGTATATATTATTTTCTTCTTCTCAGCTGATGCAAAGGATTCTCGCTAAGATGGCGATGCTGGCTGATGCAGTGGTCCTCAATTTGGATTTACGAAGGCTATTTTTCTGGAGATGGGAATCGCACCGTCCTCAGGGACTCAGGGTTAAGCACATGGACCGATTGCAGCCGAATAAGAGTTCGGGTTTTTTTTTTTTTATGAACAGGAAAAGATTCGAAGATGACTGCTAGAAAGAAAAAAAAAACAGCAAAGTCATGTCCAGATTTTTCTTTTTACAAGAAGCAGACCGGGCCAACTTCTACGCCGAATTCCTGATCGGGAGCACCAATGTCCATAGGAGCGATATCAATGATTGGCAGACGAGATGTTTTCGTTGTCTTATAGTCAATGACTGTCTTGCCCCATGTGCCAGTGTGTGACTGTGGAGGAAAGCAAGCGAGAAAAAGACAAATGAGATTGATAGAGCAGCACTCGTGCATTTTTTGTAGCTCGAAACCCCAAATTTAGCATTTCAGTGCTTCCTGAAATCAACGTGTGTCAGTCTGTGGTTAAACACAAGCTCAAGACATATATAAAACATTTTATTCTACAACATAAAATGCATCAGAAACCCCCCTGCTGGTGATTTTCCCAAAGCTTTTATTAGTCTTGAAAAAGGTGGCTGCTAAAAATGAGTCTACAGAGGTAACTATTTTAACTCAAACTTACAGGGAAATCTTTTTAAATAAAGATCGGAAAAGCTGTCGTAAACTAGCGATGGTCAAGTCATTCTACTGTGGTGCAGTTCTTCCGACTTCTGGCGATTGCATTTAAGCTTCAAAATTAGCTCATTTGTGAAGAGTATCAAATGTCAAAGAATCATAAACTTGCGTTTGTCACAAAGCTTATAATAAACCAAGAGCTAATGGGAAAATCCTATGGGTTTTAGTTGAGGTGATGCAGACTACAAAGATAATTCATTCCTGAAGAGCTCCATATAAGTAACATTACGAGGAAGGAAAGAGACACAAATGTATCCCTGGAGCGCAAAAGTAGCACAGGTATATTTGTAGCAATAGCCAACAATACATTGTATGGGTCAAAATTATACATTTTTCTTTTATGCCAAAAATCATTAGGATATTAAGTAAACATCATGTTCCATGAAGATATTTTGTAAA